CAGATGTATTTGCTTGAAGATGTGTAGACAATGTCTTTATTGTTTTAACTCTCTAGGACTTCTAGCAACATTCTTCCTCTCTATCTACCCCTCTCCTTACATCGCTCATTTGTGTCTCCCCCTCCTCCCCATGTCCACTCCTAAATATCGGTATGACCAATAGTTCTCAAACTTCGGTAGTGATTATCTCATTTTTCTTCTGTTATGTTTTACATCCCCTAGATATCTGTGCTGGTTAGATTTGTCAACCTGACACAAACTAGAGTTGTCTAAGAAGAGGGAACCTCAGTTAAAGAATCACCTCCATCAGATTAGCCTTCAGGTGAGCCTATGCCACATTTGTTGGGTTAATGATCGATGTAGGAGGGCCCATTCACTGTGGGTGGTGCCACCCTGGGCTGGTGGTCTTCGGTTGTGTAAGAAAGCAGGCTGAGCAAGCCAGTAAGCCGTGTTCCTCCGTGGCCCCTGCTTCAGTTCCGGCCTTCTGGCTCCTCCTGTGAGTTCCTGACCTGATTTCCTTCAGTGATGAACTGTTTTTTGGAACTATAAGATGAAATAAATCCTTTCCTGCCCAAGTTGCTTTGGTCAGTGTTTTATCACAGCAACAAAGAAGTTAACTAAAACTGCTTCTATTTTTGAGCAATTTGGTATTATGATTGTGCTGCCAATTTCCAAATAATGAGAAATTTCTCAGAGGTTAATTATTAGTCTAATTTCTATGTAGTTTGAGAGTATGTATTATATGATTTCAGTTTTGATTTTTTTGTTTGTTTGTTTTTGCAGAGCTGATGTTTTACTCTATAATCTTAACGCTACTGAACTTGGTTTCATGGCCTGAAATCTAATCAGTTATGGTAAATGTCCCTCATGCTCTGGAAATGTGTGCTTTGCTTTTGTTCCAGTGTTCTATAAATATTACATCAAGCTGGGCGGTAGTGTTGCTCAAGACTTCTGTAGCCTTGTTTTCTACTTATTCTATCAGTTACGGAAAAGGAAGTGTTACAAGCCACAGCTATGGCTGTCTCCCCTTAGTTCTGTTCATTTTTGCTTCAGTTATTTTGAATCTCTGCATAGATATTTAAGATTAGATAGGGACTAGTACCTTTTCAAGACAGGGTCTCACTACCAAGGTTGTCTTCCAACTTGCTGTCTTCCTGCTTCTGCCTCTCAAGTAGCTAGACATACAGGCACACAACACAGTACTCAGAGCAACTTGTCTTGTGTGTGCATGTGTGCATGTATGTGTGTGTGTGACAGATGTTGGGTGTCTTCCACCATCGCTCTACCTTATTTATGTTTTTTGAGACAGGGTCTCTCATTGAACCTTACTGTTGTTTTGGCTTGACTGGCTGGCCAGCAAGCTCCCAGGATCCATCCCATCCCCCAGTACTGAGGTAACAAACATGCACCACCATGCCCATTTTTTCTTGGGTGCTGCATATCTAAAAGCAGGTTCTCATTCTTGTGTAATAAGCACTTTACCAACTAAGTCTTCATCCCAGTCCAAAATTTATCTTTTAATTGGTATGCTTTAAACTTTGGACCAATCCCAGCACAAAGGAGGCAGAAGCAGGTATGTGAGCCTGAGGCTAGCCTGGACTTATAGTGAGTCCTTGTCTTAGTCAATCAGTTAACTTTGGACCACATACTCTCAATGTAATTATTAACAAGTTAATCATGTTATTTCTAGGGACCCCAGTGCTTGTTTCTTTCTCTGTATTCTCTACACTGTATTTTTCCTTTTGATGTAATTTTTAAATTAAATTATAAATTTAAGTGATAAAAACATCAACATTATACAAATTTTTGGGTGTGATGCAATGTTTTGATACATTTGCACTGTGTAATGTTTAGATATTACACATTTTCATTAAGTAAAATAGCAGCTCATCACTTAATTTCAAATTGTGGCATAGTCATCATGTAAAATGATTCACTAACATTCATATAATACAATTTTATAGTTCTTGTGTTATAATTGCCATTTATCAAAGATATAATTATCAAAATCAACCCATCGTAGCATATTATATTGATAACTAGAATATTAAATCAATAGATGTATTTTCTTAAGTAAATTCACTCTACTGTTCTTGGCAGGATGCTTAAAGTAGGCCAGGGGCAGACCAGATCCTGGGGCCTTGCTGGCCAGCCAGTCAAGCCCAAACATTACAGAGACAAGAACTTGAAAGACAAAAGTTGGTTTCTTGAAAATAATCATTGCTGTTAGTTATTCTCATTAACATGCAGTGAACTGAATGTTTGTGTCCCCCTAAAATATGTTGACACTCATTTTCTCTGTGATGGCATTTGTCCAGGGGCAGGGACATCTCTGGTCATGCTCACTGTGGACTCACAGATGTCCCTGTCTCTGCCCTCCCTTTTATCTACAATAAACTTTCTCCTCCACCATACTTAAGAGCAGTCATGTCTGAATTTCCTTTTTATTTCTTCTTTTTTTCATTCATCTAGTGCCAAAGTCTGGGACCAGGCATGTCCTTTCTTTTTTCTTTTTTTTTTTTTTTCAATCATTATTTAGAGGCAACGGCCTTTGGGAGATTAGCTGGTGAGGGTAGAGCAGTCATGAATGGAATTAGTTCCTTATAAAGAAAAGGACAGAGTGAATGAATCCCCCTAACCCAGTGCAAGAATCCAACTTCTATAAACAAGAAAGACAGCTCTCACCAACAAACCAACTGTGCTAGCAATTAACTGCAGTTCCTTTTTTCTTTTTCTTTCTTTTTTTGGAGACAGGGTTTCCAGATCAGCACTAGCTCTGTAGACCGGGCTGGTCTTGAACTCACAGAGATCTGCGTGCCTCTGCCTCAAGTGCTGGGATCAAACACATGCGCCACTATTGCCTGGCTTTTTCTTTATTATTTTTTTTTTTTTGTGCACTGGTGTTTCTGCTTGCATGTGTGCCTGTGTGAAGGTGTCAGATCCCCTAGAAATGGAGTTACAGATGTGAACTGCCATATGGGTGCTGGAAATTGAACCCAGGACCTCTGGAAGAGCAGCCAGTGCTCTTAACCACTGAGCCATCTCTCCTCCTCCCTTAATTGCAGTTTCTAATGATTCCATTTTACCACTTTACTGCTCATTCTGACTTATTAGCTTGAGTACTCAAGGAAAGAATATATCTTCTCAATAAACTATTTAAAATCTTATTTTTATTTTAACATTTTTTTTAATGTTTGCATGTTTTGCCAGCATGTATGTGTTCCAATGTGCATGCCTGGTGCTCAAAGAGGCCAGAAGAGGGTGCTGAATCTCCTGGAATGGAGTCACAAGTTGTTGAGCCACCATGTGGGTGCTGCTGGGACTCAAACCCAGGTCCTGTGGAAGAACAGCCAAAGATCTTAACTGCTAAGCCACCCCTCTAGCCTCTTGTTGTTGTTGTTTTGGTTTTCAGACAGGATTTCTCTGTGTAGCTCTGGCTGCCCTGGAACTCACTTTATAGATCAGGTTGGTCTTGAACTCACAGAGATCTGCCCTCCTCTGCCTCCTGAGTGCTGGGATCAAAGTCGTGTGCCACCACCCAGCTCTCTCCAGACTCTTAGTCTTAACTAGTGACTCAATGTTAAAGATTTTACATGGGGAAAAATGTTCAATTTATTAAAAAGTATCAAGGTTTTTCTCAACATGGCAACAGTGAGGATTAAGAAAAGAAAATAGGATTAGTAAAGAAAAATGAGCACAATAATAGGTATGTCCCTCTAAACAGCAAAACCAACTCCAATTTTAAAACCTGGAGAGTTAGCTGAGGGAGGAAAGACAGTGGTCTGACCCAGCACTGGACCCTCATGCTATCATAAGGACCGGCCAAGGGGGATGTGGCCACTGCTGTAATAGTGGCACGACTGTCATGCAACCACTTTGTTTGGATTTGAGGCCTGCTCCGCAGGAGGGACTTCAGGCTTGGTATTGTAAGCCTGGTCAAGTCCCCAAGAGAGAACTCAACTACCATCGTTTTGCCAAATGGTCACTTTGTCAAACTGTCTTTTAAATATCTATGCTTATACTCAGATTATCTTCACTCTCAACCTTGGTAAGAGCTCTTTTTGGCCAGCAGCAATCAATATAAAGAATACTAATTGGGGCTGGGTGTTGGTGACGCATGCCTTTAGTCCCAGTACTTGGGAGGCAGAGGCAGGCAGATCTCTGTGAGTTCAAGACCAGCCTGGTCTACAAGAGAAGTTCCAGGGCAGGCTCCAAAGCCACAGAGAAACCCTGTCTCGAAAAAACAAAACAAAACAAACAAAAGAATACTAATTGGTCAAAATGCTGAGAATAAATTACTATGGTGTGCTTAGCCCTAAATGGAACATATAATATCAAACACTCTACAGAGACATAGACAGACAGACAGACACACAACTTAGGGAATATCATGGAGAGAGGACAGAAGAAATGTGGAAACAGGATAGGGAAGAGCACCAAGAAATGCTGTGTTCTGGATGTGACATGGCTGTTGCACTGTGGTTACCTATAAGATTCAGCCAGCCAACATTCCATCATAGTGGAGGGACCCGTGAGGTGCTAACTGTAGTCAAGAAGTATTGGCAATTGCTGGCTTACTTGGGGTGAGAGTCATGGTTTTTTTTTTTTTTTTTTTTTTTTTTTTTTTGGTTTGGTTTGGTGTGTATGTGCTCGCGCACGCACTACTGGTAAGTTGTCTAAGCTCCAGTAGGCAGCTCTACATCTGTGTACATACAGGGTAACTGGATTAAATATGTCATTTAAAAAAAAAAAAAAAAGCCCCCTTAGAACACATCCATTTGTTAAATATGGTGGCTGCCTGCTACATGCAGAATAAACTTTGGCTGGTACTTCAATACCCAACATTCCAAACAAAATAATATATATACACATACACATGTATGTATATTTATCTGATTCATTTATTTGATTATTTATTGAGATAGTCTATGTAGCTTAAACTAGCTTCGAATTCATGATCCTCCTCAGCTTCCCAAGTGTTGGGATTATAGGTACATACATTAAATTTTTTCTCTAATTTTATTTAAGAGCTACAAAATAAAAGTTTTCCCTTACTTTATTAAACCATTCTTTCCAGGACAAACATACAGCCAAGGGTGATAGAGTGAGGGAATCTTGTTCTTATGAGAGAGAAGTCACCACGCTTTCAGGTGCCATCTTCAGTGATGTTTCTTATCATCACTCTGGGAAGTCAGTAAATATTCAGCCCCTAAAGCTACCACAAAGGCAACAGATCCCCATTTGAACCCTTTCAGTAACACCTTCATGAGGGAGACATTCTCTGCAAAGCCACCCATGTATCTCCAAGCCTCATTGCTGAAAAAGAGAAGAGAAATGATAATCACACGCAATTCACATTAACTCACTGAGCCAAATACATTTGATTTTTTTCTTTCTTCAATACTGAAATGTTACATTAGTACTTTTTGTTTTTGAGACAGAGTTTCATTATGTAGTCCTGGCTGTCCTGGAACTCACCATGTAGACCATGCTGGCCTCACAGAGATCCATCTGACTCTGTGTAAGTGCTGGGATTAAAGGTATGAGCCACTGTGCCCAGCATTGCTTTGTTTTTGAAATGGGGTCTCACTCTATAGGCCAAGCTGGCCTCCAACTTGTGGCAATACTGCTGCTTCAGTCTCCTGAGCTGTAAGGCTACAGGCATAAACCACCACACCAGGTTCAAAACAAGATTATTTAATATTGTAAACCAAACTAGGAATATATGTGGGGCACAGGAGAATTAAGAATATAAGACCAAGTTTCACATATAAAATATGAAGTTGTCTTTCTGTTCAAAGTTAACTACTTACCTTCCTTACATTATTGTAATAAATATTAAGCATGCTAATGTACAATATATTTTGTCTCAGAAGGTTGCACACCTGATGTTATTACTACTCTTGAAGAGGCTCAGTCTTTCCTTGTCATACAGCCTGAGCTTCAGGAGACTGATCTCCTGCTCTGGTTTGTTCTTTTGACTATACTGAACAGAGAAGGAAACAGAAAGCTGAGAGCTATAGGGAAAAATGTTTTCTTGCAGAGATAATCTAAATTAGTGGGTCAAAAAAAAAAAAAAAAAATCACCTTATACGACACACAAAAAAATGAACTAAAAAAAAAAAAAATCTGTCTCACTAGAAAATATAGAGGGAGCCATTATAGGTTTGAAGAGAAAACTGACTCTAGAGAAATGTTCAGAGACCTACAAGACTGACCCCAACTAACAATTTGAACAACAGCGGAAAGGCTACCATAAGTGCCCTTCCCTGATGATAAGATTGATGACTAACTTATCCAACATCATGGAACCCTCATCTAGTAGCTGATGGAAACAGAAGCTAACACCCACAACTAAACACTGAACCGAACTGGAATCCAGATGCAGAGAGGGAGGACAAGACCAGGCTGCAGAAACACATAAAGACAGCTGACCCGAACAAGGAGGAGCTAACGGGCCCCGAGACTGATAGCTGGGAATCCAGCATGGGACTGACTCAGACCCCCCTGAACATGGGTCTCAGTTAGAAGGCCTGAGAAGTCTAAGGGACCATGAACAGTGGAACCAGGATGTATTCCTGGTGCACAAAAGGACTTTGGGGGCACATCTCCCATGGAGGGATACTCCCTTAACGTAGAGACAGGAGAGAAGTCCTAGTCCCTACTTCAAATGACTTGACAGATTTAGATGGCCCCTCCTGGAGGGAATCACCCTACATATGGAGTGGGGAGGAAATGGGAGGGGAGAGTGGTTGGGGGGCATGAGAAGGTGGGAGAGAGGGAAGGAGGGAAAGGGAACTGAGATTGATATGTAAAATAAAAATAAAAGATAGATTAATAAAAAAAAAAAAAAAGAAGAAGAAAACATGGCAAAACCACACAAAGATGTTAGAAGTTGCTCTCGATGTAGAACTCTGAAACTAGATCAGGCTAGCCTAGAGCTCAAAGAGATCAGCCTGCCTCTGCCTCCTGAGTGCTGGGATTAAAGTCATGCAGTACCACACTGGGCCTATTGCATATTCTGAACAAAATTTTAGAAAATAAGAACACTGGCTGAACCAGGAATAAGAACAAGCTAGGACAATATGGCAAGACTGATTTATACCTATAATCCCAGTGTTCAGAGGCTGAAAGACACAAGTTTGAATACTGTTCAGAATTAGCCCGAGCTACAGTTGCAAAACCACTGGCGAGGGGGGGGGGGATCAAAAGTTTAAAGAAAATGGATTCTTTTTCCATGTTGCCTATTACAATAATGCAAGAAAAAAAATAAAAGTTTACAGTTTAAGAATGACAAAGTCTCTGTAGACAAAATGATCATTTATTCAAAGAAAAGTTTAAGGGACATATAAAATAATTTGCTAGGGCAAAAGTTTAGCTAAATAATGAATGGGATATAAAGTCAGTGTGTGAAAATTAATTACAATTTTAATTGTCAACAACATAATTTAAAATAACACTTATGATAGTACCAGAAATATGAATAAATTCAACAAAATGTTCAAGATCTATATAAAAGGTAAAAAATAATGCTTAAAAGTTCAAAAAGTCATAAATCACATGTGTTCTTAAAGACTCATTGTTATAGTCACATAAATTATCTCCAAACTGATGTGAGTCCAATAGAAACATGGAAAAGATTCTACTATAAATTTCTGTGAAATAGTGAATGAGAACCCAATTAAAATCCAAGTCAGCTATTTGTAGAAATTGATGAGCACACACTAAAATTTATAGGCAAATAAAATAAGACCCAGAATAGCTGAACCAATGGAAGGCAACTGGAGAAATTATACTATACTATTAAAGGATTGTGGTATTGGGCCTAAGTGCAAACAACAGAGAAACAAGACAGAGTCCAGAAATAGACCACATAGATATTATCTATTATTGACATTTATCAGATTAACTCAACTGGGAATAACCTTTTGATAAATGTTCCTGAACCAACTGGATACCCTCAGATAATATTTGCCTCCCTTCTTCCTTCAAATAAAATGAAAACTAACTCATGGTGCTAAAGTGATAGCTCATTAGTGAAAAGCATGGGCTGTGTTTCAAGAGGCCCCAGGCTGGATTCACAGCAATCACAGGAGTTTATATCTCCAGTCTCAGAAGATCCAACACCCTCTTCTGACCTCTGCAGGAACCACACACACACATGTTGTAGAATACTATTTTAAGGTTATTACATTTGTTTATACTGTGGAACATTTGTTTAATGATGCAAAGATGTGTTGCATTCTTTTATGTTTCATTTGTTTAACTCTTTGAAGCTGTGTTACTTTCCCTGTCTAAAACACCTGATTGGTCTTATAAGGCCAATAGTGAGGCAGGAGAAAGGATGGGTGGGACTGGCAGGCAGAGAGAATAAACAGAAGGAGAAATCAGAAGAAGGAGCAAGAAGAAGGAGAGAAGGGTGTTGATATGGGGGCAGCCACAAAGCCAGCCATGGAGTGAGAGTGAAAGTAAGATGGAAGTAAGAAATGCAAAAAGCCCAGAGGCAAAAGGTAAATGAGATAGCTTAAGAAAAGCTGGCTAGAAACAAGCCAGGTTAAGACCAGGCATTCATAAGAAATAATAAGTCTCTGTGAGTATTATTTGGGAGCTGGGTGGAGAGCCCCCCAAAAGAGCATAAAGCCAAAAAAAAAAAAAAAAAAAAAAAAAAAAAAAGGAAAATAACAAGCAATAACACACAAGTGGTGCACAGACATTCATGCAGGCAAAAACCCATACACATAAAGATAACTTTTTTTAAATAAAAAGATTAACTCAAAGTAAAAGTAAATCATCATATCTCAGTTCAGGGAAACCATAAGCTGAGAGTGATAACACATGCCTGCAAACCCAATACTTAGGAAGCTAAGACAGGACCATCAGGAGTCTGAGCCTGGCTTGGGTTAAACACATAATTACTCAAAAAGAAAAAAAAATCCTAGATGAGATGCAAAAGTAATAGTGACAAGAGAAAAAATACTTAATTGGGAATTTATTGGCATTTAAAACATTAAAAAATGAAAACAAAAAAAAACCAGGTTATATACTAACATATACTCTGAGAAAACATGTACAAAATTTATATATGATGAAAGGCTTATTTTCAAAATATATACATAACTGTTATAGCTCATAACAAGGGGTCAACAGACCCGAGGATATACTACACCCCCCCAAAAAAAAAGATACACACATAAAATAATTAACATAGTCATCAGTGTTCATGGCATGGGGCGTGGCCCATACCAAACTTCTGCTGACATAGTTACTAGAAGGGCTTCATCTCTTTTACCTTTTTTTGAGACTGGCTCTTATGTAGCCCACGCTGGCCTCTAATTTGATATCGAATGGTGCTGTAATTCCAATCCTCCTGCCTCCACCTTTCACAGGCTGAGAGTACAGGCATGCAAACACCATGTTTGGTGTTGGAATAGCTGAAGTTAATAGACTGAAAACACTACATACTGATGAGACCATTGAACAACTGAAATTCTCATCCACTGCTGGTAGGAAGAGAAAATAGTAACACGACTTTAGAACATGGTCTGGCATTTATTTACAAAGACCCACAGACTTATCATGTAATCCAGAAATCCCACTCTTGGTACTTACAGAAGGAAAATGAAAATACATGTCCATACAGACTTGTGAATAGCTTTAGCAACTTTACTCATAATAAGAACCAAGAGCTGGAAATATTTTTTTCTTGAGCTGGAAATAATTTGAATGGCTAATGTGAGAAACAAAAAGTGTGGCTCACATCTTTAGTCCCATCATTCTGGAAGCAGAGGCAGATGAATCTCTGAGTATGAGGCCAGACCAGTCTTCAGAGTGAGTTACAGTTCCAGGACAGGCTACACAGAGAAACCCTGTCTCAAAAAACAACGAAGCAAACAACCAACAACAACAAAACAAACAAACAAAACTCCCCAAAACCCAAGGGTACAAAGTATTAAGTTGGGTTGCAAGATAGGCTTTTTGGAATGAGTTTTATCCCTTGACATTTAAAAAACAAAGCCAATAAAAGAGAAAGCTCAGCTCCCTCTGCCCCTGAAAAACAACATTAAGTGAAAGATGAAAGACACTTCCCACAGAATTCTAATATAGAAAGTATTAGTAAGGAAAACACTAGAGACAGAAGCAGAGCTGTAGTTGCCAGGAGCCAGTCATTGGCAGCAGCTGCAAAGGGCACACATTTTCTGGAATAATAGGAATATTTTGCATCATGACTTCAGTAGTGATTTCATAGTTGCCATTTGTAAAAACTTAACAAAATAATAATGAGTTAACTTTAAAATAGGTGAATTGGCCAGGTGGTGGTAGCATATGCCATTTAGTCCCAGCACTCGGGAGGCAGAGGCAGGTGGATCTCTGTGAGTTCAAGGCCAGCCTGGTCTACAGAGCTAGTTCCAGGATAGCTAGGGCTACACAGAGAAACCCTGTCTTGAAATGCCTCCTCCCAAATATATAAATAAATGAATAAATAAAATAAAATAGGTGAATTGTACTGTACACAAATAAAGCTAAGAAGCCATTTTCGCTGGGCAGTGATAGTCAATGTCTTTGATCCCAGTATTGGAGAGGCAGAGATAGGACAGGTAGATCTCTGTGAGTTTGAGGCCAGCCTGGTCTACAGAGTGAGTCCCAGGACAGCCAGGGCTACACAGAGAATCCCTCTCTAGAAACACCATTCCCCCAAAAAGCCATTTTTCAGAATAGGAAGTGGAGCAAAATACTGACTCTCTGAATTCACAAGCCACTAGATCTGGGCCATCGAGAGAGCTCAGTGGGTGAAGGTACTGAGTGTGCAGCTTTACCCCCAGGACCCACATGGTGGATGGAGAGGCCTCCCTTGAATTGTCTGTATCTGCATACTTGCACTGCGGCAGAAGCATGTCAGCATTCCTGCCCCGTTAAACAAAGAAATAAAAGTCACTTCAAAAGAAGAAGACATTTCTAGACTCATCTTACCGAGCCCACGGATCCCTCAGCCCTCGTGCAGCAAGCTTCTTCTGGACTGCTTCTAACGGTGTCCCTTCTATTTTCCACTGTCTGTAATCTGGAAGTACCAATTTACCATGACCATGACCATGTCCATGTTCGTGTCCATGCCCAGGGGCCATGTCTATAGGAAAGAAGGGAAAGAGGTTGTAGATATCCAAAAGCCAGATTTGATGTTTACAAGTGAAATGTTTTGAAAAAAGATAAATACCTGAAAGTTCTGAGTACAAAGCTTTTATAAAGTATACTATTATCACTCGGGAGGGAGGGACATCACTACTACTCGATAGAATTTTCTTATGTACATGACAAGGAATGTGTTTTATCAGACATTTTCCCAAATGAAGTACACATAACTTTATCACTGGGGTACTTGCCACCCCATCTTACAAAAAATATTTATTTACTTGAGACAGTCTTATCTAACTCAGTCTGACCAAACTTGAAATGTAGTCAGGAATGGCTCTGAACTCTCAATCTTGTACATGCCCAGTTCCTGCTTTTAAGGCCTTATTTATTTGTGTGTGTGTGTATGCGCCCACGTAAAGGTCAGAAAACAACATAAAGGAACCGGTCCTCTCCTCATATCATGGGAAAAGTGAGTTACACTGCACTGAGAAATGAATGACAGGGAATGACAGGAAATGTACACATTTATGAACAGCAAAGAAATAAATTCAACAAAGAAAGAAAATTTAATTATAGGAAATTTAAACGCTCTCTGCTTATGCCAGAAGTCATCTAACTCTAACTTAGAAGTTAGATGATGACCAATCTCCATTAAAGGTGGCTTACTCTAGCACAGGAAGTGTTGAATTACTTTCCCTAAGGAATGTTACTTCCACTACATGTAATTTTACAGCTTACCAAGGGCTTTCAAGTACATAACTCAATTTTCCATCATTTAAAAACCGAGATGACCATAAACATATAAGGAAATAAAGACAAATGAAATGCTATTACTTTAGTACCCAATCCTTAACCCTAGGAATATGAAATAGACATGATTTTGTGAGGCATCCGTTGGAAATTTCCTAGTTTAAGTATATTCGGGTCGGGGGATGTTTTTTAATCTACCCAAATACAGTCCAGAAATCCAGGGGGCAAGGAGGAAACTGCATGTGGCAGCGGCGGGGATGTGGGGGGTAATCTCTGGGATTTGGCCACTACAGGAATTCTCAGGGCATCCCCCAACCGCCTCCGCTCAACTGTACTTGGCGGCTGCGATCCCCTCCTCCCGGTCTGAGCTGGTCCCTCTCAGCCTTGCACTTCTGCACTTCCCTACATACAGTCTAGATTATTCCTAATCCAGAGGTTTCCCATCAACTCCCTAAATTACCTGACAGCAATCTGACCTCTCAGGACACTCAATAGTCAACCTTCCAGCTGGAGCCAACCGGAAGCGGATGTCGTGTCCTCGAGTTCCTTTCGGCAGGAACACGGAGGAGTAGAAGTTAAACGTTCCGGTCCTGGCGTAAGGCTCCCAGACAAGGTAGAGATGACACAAGGGAGACTGGAAATGGATATTGTTTTCCACACTTTGCTGCCGGAATCCGACTGAGGTAGGCTGCGCTGAGGAGAGGGCAGGGAAGCCGTGATTTCCTTGCTCCCGGGCGGAATCTTTAGGTGGGCGCACCGAGGGGCGGGCCGAGGCCAGGCGTAGCCAATGAGAGCGGCCGTTATTAAGCGCGTGGGCCCACTCAATGAGAGGGCTGGTTGTTGTGCTGCAGTTGGCAGGCTGCTGCGGGAGGCGGTGGCGGCAGGAAGCCTGAGGCTGCGGGGTGACAGGTAGGCGGCGGTGCTGTCTTCGCGGGGGGAGGCACGCACAGAGCCGGGTGAGGAGGGTTTCCTTCTCCGGCTGCGGACGCGGTAGCCGCGAGCTGGCTAAGGTGTGGTGGGGAGGCGGCAGCGGGACTGGTGGCGGACCCGGAGCCCTGCAGACCTGGTAGCAAGCTCAGGAGGGTCGTGAGGAGAAGGCGGCTGCCGAGGCGGGCTGGGGCTGAGTGTTATGGGGCGACCCGGGGGCCTAGCAAGGGCGTGAGGGTGGCGGTGGCGCGGGCTGAGGCGGGAAGGAGGCGGGAGCAAGGCACAGGTAGTGAGGGCTGAAGGAATTTCTTGAGGAAGCCTCGGGCAAGAGAAGGACGCGGCGTTGCAGACCGCTGAGGGATTCCGAGGGGGTTGTTCTTGGGGCCGTTTCCTGGGATAGGGAGCGGTGCGGAGAAGAAAGATATTTATCGGTGGTCAGATCTAGAAACTAGTGGCTGTACATTATGTAATCCTTGGCAGTTATTTTTTCCAAACAAGTCGACTGGCCCTCGCGGAAGAGGAGCTCTTGCAACCCATTGATACATCGGAGCACTTTCTGGTTGTTGTTGCTGGCTTCAGTGTTTTCTACCCAGGCAGGCTCTGTGGGAGGAGGACAGCATGAAGGCAAGAGTAGTCACGAAGCGCTTATCCCAAATAAGGACTTGGGTTGAGAAATGACACGGCGTTAGCTCTAGATGAGTGTTTTGTAGTACACGAATTTGCTGCTTTGCGACTCAAAACTGCTTAACCTCCAGAAAAGTGGAGAACCTTTTAAGTCTAAAGAAGAAAGTAAATGCAGATTAGAAGATGAACAGTCAATTAGTTGGCACGCAACTTGTCCCCAAGGGTTGGATGTTAAGGATTGTGAAAATAAGATGGGAATCTAAACAGAGGAGCGTCAACTTCTAACTGATTCGCTTTGTTAAATCTGAGAAGCTAGTTGTGAGTTATTTTTCAGATTTAAAATAAGGTCTTTGGATGTCTTGGACTTAGATTTTAAAATGTATTTTACAAGTTAAAGATTATTTTGTTTTGGAAAGTCTTTTAAATTCACGGGTTGACTGGTGAAATACGTACTAAAACAAACCTGTCAGCATGTGTTGTGGAAGGGCATTTGATTTTATAACTCATTGGAAAACTCATCTTAAAAGACTAGAAAACATTTTAAAAGGCAACACTATATAAAATTATTGAAAGGCAGCTGCTTGGGATGCTGCCTTCAAGTTAGAAGATGAGGATAAATAGTTTTCAGGAAGTGTATTATTTTTCTGGGCTTGCTTTTGAACTACATGTTAGGAAAACTTTCCAAGATCTGATTTTTTTCTACTATTTGTCATTTATGTTAGTACATGTTATGTTGTTTTAGAAAGAGAATTTATATTTTTGTTTTAGGTAAAATGCTATAATGCTTTACACGCCTGTAAATAACTCTTTATTTGCCTTTAGTTTGATAGATTTAAGATAGTGTGAATGTTTCTCTTATGTAACCAGCCTACTATAGCTATCTTAGAGAACTAATGGCTGATTTTCAGTGGCCAGTAGGTGTCATTGTTGAATGCTATAAATCGAACAGGCAATAGCAAATTACTAAATAGCTTAAAAAACACTATCTCAAATTATCATCTAATAGTATCTGGGTTATTATTTATAAATCATAGTTTTATTTTCTGAAAGATTTCCATGTCAAACTGTTTGTAAGTAATTTGAAACTTTGATTTTAAGAAAATATTATTGCTTGCTTCAAAATGGATCTTGGCAGTTTTTTTTTTTAACATAACCCTTAAACTGTCTTTTTTTTTTTTTTTTTTAATTTTTTAGTCTCACTGTGTAGACCAGGCTGGCCTTACCAATATCCACTCACCTCTGCCTCCTAAGCATGGAGATAATAGGCATGTGTCACCACAGCCAGCCCCCAAAGCTCTTAATAGGCAGTGTGGATTTCTTTCATTCTTGTTAGTACACAGCATTGACACCTTATTGTAGTATATTAAGTTCAATGGTTTTCAGGCTGACTGAGCTTTATTATAGAAAACAACAGTACCAAATAATTAAAAACTAAAATGATAAATTATGGGCAGAAGCCTCAATCAAATTGTACTGTCAGCTACACAAAACAATTTTTTGCTGGTCTTTTAATACCTGAATAAGTGATTTTGTGTGTGTGTGTGTGTGTGTCTCATTGTTTCCTTTCCCCAACCCCAGAATAGTTTCCCTTTACATCTTTCCCTGGTTAGTAGACCATGTACTTTTCCTATTACAGGAACTGAATACTTCCCAGTGTCTAAAATGTAATATAGTAGATTTAGTGAGTGCTGGCACAGAAATCTATGAAGATGGTTTACACCTGCTGTTAATACATTTCTTTGCTGCCACAGCCTTCCGATGAGCTTGTCCCTTTTCTCTCTCTGTTCCTTATGTTTGCTATTAATATAGTACTTTCTAAAAGGAAGGGGGGTTGAGGGGCTGAGGAGATGGCTTAACAGGTGTAGCACCTGCCATGCAAGTGTGAGGATTGGAGTTTGGATCTCCAGGACCCACATAAATGCCAGGTGGTCATTGGTGGCCAGTCCATGATCTCTGCACTTGGGAGGCAGAAAGAATGAATCACCAGTGTGAGCTGGATAACTGGACTAGTGGCACCCTTTGGGTTCAGCTAAGCATGCCTCAGTTAATATGAGGTGGGGAGTGAATGAGGAAGACACTGATGTCAACCTCTGGCCTTCACATGCATCCCCACTTGCCCATATGTATAGCCACACATCACATATGTACACATACACAGTACACACAAAAGAGTCAGACCTACTTTGAGAATTCTCTATAAAGATAGAATGTCTCAAAATAGTCCAGGAGGTTTTTTAGTTTTCAAAAAGGGGACATACGCATATATTTTATCTGTGCTTCCCTTTAGAATCTTAGTGAAGGGTGGGATATGAAGGAGGTAGATACATTTTACAAGGAAACAAATCCCTGAATGATTTAATTTGTATCTGGCCTTCACTTTAGAATCTTTGATTCATTTCAACTTCTGTCACTTGGTATGGTATGAACCAGTAACAGCAGCTTTAGCTGAATAAACCAGCTGCCAAATCTACCAGTATTTTATAGCTATAAACTTGTTTCCATTTAATGTCATAGCTAGGGCAGCTTTTCTAGCCAGAAGTTGAAGTTGCCAAAAATAAAGATGTGCTGTTTTTGGTTTGAATTAGTTTTTACTTGGCACTTAACTGCTTTCCATAAGTCAAGCAATTTTCTTTCACAAATTAGTCCTATACTAATTAATTTGCACAGATATTTACTCATTTTGTTTTCCGAATGTGTCAGAAAGCTATATTGTCCTTGAATTAAATTAAAATTGAGAAATAAGAATTGTAAGTTTAGCCTGGTGGTGGTAGTACAACACCTTTAATTCAGGTGGTTGGGAGGCAGTGGCAGGTGGATTGTGTTTGAGGCTTGCTTGATACTAAAGATCCAAGTTCTCGGGCAGCCAGGGATACACAAAAAGACACCTTGTCTCAAAAATCCAAAAAAAAAAAATCCCCAAAACCTTAAAAAATTTTTAAAAAAGAATTATAAGTTTACTTGACTAAACAGTTTTCACTGGGACTTTGATATAATTGTGTAAATCGATATTTGAGCAATATTCACTCAATATTATGTAGTAAACTTAGAATTATATAGCGTTTGATCTTAACATGATCAAGTTTAGAGATTTATGGATTGTATTTAGACCTAATGTTTAGAGATTTGGATGTTTGAGACAAGTATGAAAAGAAGTAAATAGGAAGGAGTATAAATTCAGAGGTGTAATATATAAAGTGATTTAATTATCCATTAAATTATGGTAATTTTTAGGTTTGAGGATTAGTTGCCAAAGTAATAGTCATCTCATCTCTGAGCTAGATATCCTTAGTTCTGCTGGCTTTTTCTTTTATTTTTATCATTTACTTAGTTTGTTTTGAATACTGTACTCATGTCCTGAATACTGGCCTTGAACTCCTGATCTGCCTCAACCTGTCAAGTGCTGAGATTATAGCTGTGTGCCATTAAACCCAGCTATTTTATCTTTTTAAGAAAGTGTTTTATTAGTCGGGTGGTGGTGGCACTGGGAGGCAGAGGCAGGTAGATCTCTGAGTTCAAAGCCCAGTCTACAGAGCATTCCATGACAGCCAGGGCTACATAGAGAAATCTTGTCTCCTTGTCTCAAAACAAACAAGCAAAATTGCCTTTATTTACTATGTCTATGTACATTTGTATGTGTGGCTCACGTACAGCACATGTGTGGAGTTGGTTCTCTCCTTTTACCATGTGGGTTCTGAGGATCAAGCTGTTTGTCAGATTTAGTGGTTAGCATCCACTGCCATCTCACCTGCCTCATTTTTATTTTTTAATTGGCACAGTTATATATACTTACCAGGTACTATATGATGAAATCAATTTTTAAAAATTCTATATATGAGTGAGATCATGTGATACCTGTCTTTCTGTAACTTACATTTAACATAATGTACTGCAGGTTCATCCATGTTGTCACTGATGACAAGATTTCATCTTTTAAATAGTATCTATTATATATATGACATATTGTCTTTACTCATTTCAGTAGTTGGTAGACACTTAAGCTGATTTTGTCTTTTGGTTATTGAGAATAGTCTGCAATAAGCATGGGATACCAGTGTCTCTCAATACTGATTTCCATTGGATTGTTGGTGTGTTAGCTGATCTCTTATTAAAGACAATGAAACTTGGCTTATTTGTATTCTATAATGTGTTATGTAGTGCTTTATGTGGGCCTATGGAGTAAGACATAGAAGGACCAGGTTATTTTTTATTTAAGAATGAAAAACAGTCAAGAGGCTAGAGGTGTGGGTTGGTGATAGAGCATTAGCATGTCTGCAAGGCCCTAGGCCAATGTGGACAGTGTGAACAAAAGAAAATCCATAAGTGACATAATCACTGTAAGAATTCACGAAAAGTTTTGC